CTATCATCCCATCATTACGTGTTTGTGAACGACCAGACACTTCAATCTGAGGCGGTCGTATAAGTGGAATAGATAAGACTAAATAAGGCAGATTCTTATAGGTGCATAAGGTATATAAGATAACCACACAACCGATTACGATGTTCGTCCCTCCTTCACTGAGGCACAATTTGTACACAATAACCAGTGGTAATTTTGACGGCCGAACACAACTGATACCAAGATTGAGTTTCGGTGGCAACATGAGAGTAGATTTTCACAACATTATCACTATTACTAGCATTATTTACGGCCTATTTGACGAATTTATCGATTAACGAAACATGCCCCTTGATTGGAAACACAATTGTAGACGAACAGGTTTGCGGTGAATTCATTTTCAAGCCTGTGCAATCACGTTCAAATGGAACAAAATTCAAAAAGCCCAAACAGAAAGGCAGAAGAGTCGTGTGTGAGTGTCGTAATTCGTCTGAGAAAACTCCAATTCGGCACGTTGTTTAGATTACGCAATCAAAATTAGCTTGGTTACGTCACGGTAATTTATACAAACGACTTTCTCTTTCCTTGACCGGGGCAGTTTGAGAGCTTGGGTCAACTTTCACAGTGCGCTTGAAAATGAATTCACCGAAAACATACGTTCACCAACGTTATGAGGTCTGTTTATCGATTCTCAAGAAAGTCCTTGTGGTAAATTATGGGCTTTTAGGGTAAACACGGTGATGAGAACGCAACTTATGAGTTGGAAGATTGATGAAACGGGTGGGCTTGATCACGACAACCATTTTCACAACCATCGCCACTATCAACATAATCGGGAATCCTAAATGAATCTAACCAGAAGGTAGAAATAGGAGGCTGCGAGTATGACAACATCTCACCACATTGATATCGTTATGGAAAGGAAAAGAAACACCATATTATTTGAAACCAAATCATGAATGTGAAAGATTTAATGAGATAAATAGGGAGGAACTATCAGAGAAATTCCCATTCCACGTACTGGTCTCGTTTTTGCTCGGCTGCGACTGTCGTCGAAGGCGTAAAGCGACTGGTTTCACTGTCAAACTGTCTGATGTGTGACTTTGTTCCACCGGTTTGCACTTCGGCGAGACCAAAATACACTCGGACGAGGCCGAATGCTCGCGATTGGTCTCGACAGTGAATTCGTTCAGGGCCTGACGATCGAACGAAGCCAATGCCAACTCGATATGATTGGAAACGAGGAACTGGACGTGCATCAAGATGTCCAAGAACTTATTTGCACTGGGTTGTGCCGGCCTGAGATCGTAGTCACGCGGCGCTGATCTAATACGGAGCACAGTCCGCACGGTTGCAGGAAGCAGGGAAGTGGATCGGAATGGGTAGGGAGAGGGAGAGAGAGCTGAAACAGAGCCACATGCTTCGTACACTTTGTCGCGGGCGAAGGGAAAGTTTCAGTTTTTACAACCATAAACCATGCAGTCTTGTCTTTTCAGGAAGCGAAAGGTAGTCAATCAAAGACGAGTCATGCAGAAATTCGGACCATGTTGCTGGAATTGGAGCACACGACCGCGTGACGCACGCGCGTATATGGTACGGATAGCTTTCAAATTTTTCATTGGTCCCATACGTTCTGACGGACCTACGCCATGCAAATCTTCAAGACTGATTGCGCAACGCAATTCTATCCTTGTTTTTGGTTATTATATATGATTAGGAAGCAATCAGTTCTCTGGATCTGATAGCGATGAACAGTAAAATCTTGTCATGTAATTTGAAATCCGACAGCAATCACTAACAGTTCAGAACCCGAATGATTTACGGTCTAGTGTCAATAATTGGAACGCAATAAATTTTTCACAAAGCTGAACAATATGCAAAGAACAATCACATTATTCGTCAGCAACAGTGAAAACTGGAAGACGAAAAAACAATACTCGACACTATCAGTAAACGGTACGCTGAAAACAAACACTCGAGGGGATGGTATATATATATAAGGGTTGCTGCAGTGGTAGGTACTAAACTGAGCAACCATGCTCATTATTGGGCGCAAAAGATCGTCGATGGACTGACGGGTATGAAGACGGTTTACACATTCAGCTTAAATGTTTTTTTTTGAGAAAAAAATGAGAAATGAAATGAGAAAAAGCTACTCGGACAGGACATTCGTATTTCACATATCACTTCGATCAGTGAGACCGGAAAAATTGAAAGGTTCGGTTCAGTTCAGTTCAGTTTTTACAACAATTAACCATGCATTTTCGTGTGCCGGTTTTGATTGCTGTCTTTTGGTGCCCAATCGGGACAAAAGAGTAGAAAGCAGATTGGAATGTTGAAAGCAAATCCAAACAGAAGATGGAGAATTCATATAGAATGGTGTTA